CGAGCTCGCCTGCTTCGTCGGCGCGGCCGTCGGAGTCTCGCTGCGAAGCCGCGACGGCTCGAAGCGCAAATCCTTGAGCCGGCGCGGTTACGGAAAGGTCGTGGGCTTCTGGCTGTTGTTGGCTTGTCCTTGTTCGCTGCTTGTCGTTGCCTTATTGTCGTCAGCGTGTTGTCGTCAGCTTGTCGCTGGTAGTTTCTTGTTGTTCGCTTGTTGTTGTTGTTGTTGCGTGTATTGTTGCTGTTGTGGCTTGCTGTTGCGCTGGTTGCTGGTGCTGCTGTTGTGCTTGCTGTTGTTGTGCTGGTTGCTGGTGCTGCTGCTGCTGCTGCTGTTGTTGCTCGTGCTGTTGTTTTGCTGGTTGATTTTGCTGTTGTCTGGTGTTGCTGCTGTTGCTTGCGCGTGTTGTGCTCATTGCGCTTGCTTTTGTTACTGCTGTCGTTTGTTATGTTGCTGTGGTCCCTGTCTCTTGTTGTTTTCTGCTGGCGCCCTCGAGGCCAGCGGCCGCCTCGCTGAGAGCCCCCAGCGCCTCGTTCTCACTCTGACCGAAGGCGCCTCGCCCGGAGTTCCAAGCGGCTCGCGAGGCGCCCCGTGGCTGAGTCAGGACTCGGAGCCGAGGCAGGAGGCGAGGCAAAGCTCGGCACCGAGTGCAAGGCGTCGCGCTACCTCGTCGTTGAGGGCCTGCAAAAGCGGCTGCGCTTCTTCTCGGGCTCGACCTTGCAGGGGCCGAGCTCGAGCTTCTTGCCCGAGAGTTGTTTCTCGAAGTGCGCGTTGTCCTCGAGCTTGCCGCTGTCCTGAAGTTTCTTGTCCTCGAGCTTGCCGGAGCCCCCCCTGTCCTCCAGCTCGACCTTCTTGTCCTTCAGATTGACCTCCAGCTTGACCTCCTTATCCTCCAGCTTGGTCTCGAGCTTGGCCTTCTTGTCCTCGAGCTTCTTGTCGTCGAGGCTCTTGTCCTCGGGCCTGCTGGTGTCCTCCTCCAGCGTGCTTGGTTGCGTCTCCTCGTGCTGCTCGACGCCGTCCTCGGTCGTTACCTCCTCGAATCCTCGGTCAGCGCGCCCTCTGGCGCCCGCTCGTCGCCCTGCGTTTGCTCGGCGAGGAACATCGGCGAGACGACGCTCTCGCCGTCCGACCGCTCGGCGGAAGGCCGACGGTCGTCGCTGTCCGACTCGGCAATCCTGGTTGCCGGAGGGGAGAGGGGGCTTGGAACGCATGACCCTGAATGGGCCACAGAAGGCGTTGCGTCCTCAGCGGGCTTGACCCGAACAGTGCTTGCACCGCAGAGCTTGCGCCCATTGCACCGCGTAGCTTGCTCCGCCTCGGCGATGCATCGGCGGGCGTCGGCGGTGCGTCGGCGATGCGGTGGGCTTGGCCTGTGCCGCTGTGGCTGCTGTTGTTTGTTGTTATTGTTGTCCATGTCGCTGCTTGTCCTGCTGTTGCTGTTGTTTTGGTGGTTGCTGCTGCTGTTGTGGCTGCTGCTGTTTTTGCTGATGTTGCTGTTTGTGTGCGCGTGTGTCTCTATGTGTGTGCGTGCGTGAGTGTGCGCGTGCGTGGGGAGGCGCGCGCGTGCGCTTGTGTGTGTCAGCGCGTTTGCGCGCGCACGTCTGCGCGCGTGCACGTGGCCGCTAGGCGTCGGGGCTCGACCCTCGACCCTCGGATCGAGGGCTCAGGATCCTCGAGTCCAAGCTTGGCGATCATCGGATCTAGGATCCGAGGTGCTCGCAGATGCTCGGACTCAAGATCTCGGATCCTCGATCCGAGGGTGGAAGATCGAGCCTGCTCGATTGCTCGGCGCATGATCGAGGATCACTCGGCGGGGGGAGTAGCGCCCCGCAGCTTGGAACGCCGCTCGCGCGTGCTCGAGCGCTCGCGTAGAGCTTGAAAGCAGATGGGGCTCGAGCGCGTGCCTCGAGACGCTCGCGCGGCGCGCACGCAGCGGAAACCATGGGGGCGCGTGGCCTGGGGCGCTCGCGCGCCGGGCGCTCGCCGCCCGCCGCCGCTCGGCTCTCAGAAGTCCTTCTGCGTCGACTGGTCGGCCTCTGGCTCGGCCTTCGCGTCGGCCCGGCTCTTCTCGGGCTCGCGCTGGTGGGTCATCATGTCGTAGTCGGCGTGGATTTTCGCGAATTTCTCGAAATTCATCTTGATGTGCTGGTCGAGGGCCATTGTCCCGAAGCTGAGCTGCTTCTCGGTGCCTGCGCGGTAAAGCTTGGAGCGCTTGTCCTGCTGGTTCCGCCCCTGGAACTCGTGGGCCATGTCGGCGGTGCGCTCGGGGCCCCAGCGCCGCTTGGCGACCGCTCGCGCGGCGGCTCGCGCGTGGTCAACGCCCTTCGCCGCGCCGTTGCCGCGGCGCCAGTTGGCGAACTGCTTGGCCTTGTGGGGGTCATCTCGAAGAGCTGATCGGCTGGCGCGCTGGAGGAGAACTCCTCGGGCATCTTCTCGACGGGCTCGAAACTCTTGTTGATCGGCAGCACGAGGTCGTGGAGGTGGAGGAGCTCGGAGGGGGCGTCGGGGAGGGCCTTGCCGACGCGCTCGGAATAGGAGCCAAAGCTGAGGCGCCTGGCGCTCTCGGCGCCGAGCTCGATGTCCTTCTTCTTGGCAAGCTCGATCATCATCGACTTGAAGCTCGGCGTTCGCCGGGAGAGATTCTCGCGCGGCTCTCCGCGATTCTCGAAGACTTCGTAGAAGCGCGCGTCTTTCTCGCAGTAGGTCTCGTAGAACAACGCCACCGCCAGCTCGACGCACCTCCTGTCCTTCTCGTTGAAGACGTGCCCGTGCTCGATGCTCTTGAGAGAACCGCCGTCGCGGACCATCTCGAGGGCGGCTTGCTGGGCGCCCATCGACCACGAGGCGCTGTCCGCCTTGAAAGAGCAGGCCGTCAGTGTCTCGCGCGTTCGATTGGCATTTGCGCATCTCGGCAATGGCGATCTCGTCCGCGATGAAGGACTGCTTGTCGAGGATACTCTCATTCTGCTTGGCCATGTGCTCGAGAATCTCGTTCGAGCTCGGGCTCGCGCTCTTGGCCACGACGTTCCCCAGGGACTCGACTTGTTGGGTCACCGCCTGGGCGCGCTCGGCGGCCTGGGGCATGGCTGAGACTCGCGACGCTCTCAGGGGCAACGATGTGGGGGGGATAAGCATTGGGAGGGAGCATCGACCTGGAATCGGCGATGCATCGCCGATGCATCGGCGATGGGCGACCGTGAATCTGCACGTTCCTAGGCAGGTTAGGGCCATCGAACCACTCTCTGCGATCAATGGGCGGTTGGGGATCGATGCATCCCCTTATGCCTTATCCCCCCCTATCGTTGACCTCGGGGGAGGTGCAGTTCGGTGCCCCGAAGAGGCTCGAAAGCTGGGAGTCTCGGAAACTCGGGGAGGCTCGGGCACAGGAAATTGCGGGGGGGGAATGGTGATGATGATGATGATGATGATGATGATGATGATGATGCTGAGGAGGAAGAGGCGGAGGAGGAGGAGGAGGAGGAGGAGGGGCCACGAACCGTGTGAGGGATGCGCTAAAAAAGTTCGCCGGCCCAACGGGCCAGAGGCGTGCTAAGATCTCCGGTAACTGGTTAACAATATTTCTAGTTCGCGCGCGCGGAGCGGCCCCTGGGGGCCCCCGGACGAACAGTACCCCGGCAAGGTCCCGAGAGAAACCCGGGAGAAGCCACCAGACCACTCCAGGGAGGGTATTTTTCGACACCCCTCACGAGGATCGTGGCCTCCGAGGGGGGAGCCGCAATCGACTACCCCCAAGAGCCCCCCAAGAGGCCCTGGGGGCCTCCAAAACGCCGCCAAGGAGCCCCAAGAGACTCCCAAGAGGTCCCCAAGAGGCCCCCAAGAGGCCCTAAAGAGGGTTCCAGGGCCGGCGGCATGAGCGAAGCGATTAAATAACTCCAATTCCCTGCTTGCTCGAAAAACGCATGTAACTTCAAAATCCAGTCGGTCCCCATGGCCCTGCCACACGTTCCGGGCTCGCGAACGACTGAAAAGTGAGATTCCCATGGCCTTGCCGCACGTTCGTGACTTGGGAAAACTGAACCCATAGCCGTGCCACACGCTCGGGATTGCGGAAGCTGAAATCGTGAGACCACCATTGCCATGCTCAGCGTTTTTGATGATGTTGCTAATCGATAAAGATGATAGCAACTTCGACTCACAATTCCCCCCGGGGATTGTCAATTTTGCCCCCTGCGCCCTTTAAATCGTATTTACACGGGAAAAATTAAAGGGTGAAGGGGGGAATTAATTATCGGAGGTTGTTCTTGTTTTATTCGTTCCACGCTGCTCTTTCTTAATCGTCATCCTGCATGACCCCCCTGGTGGAACCCATCGTATGAGATGCGTCTCGAACGAAGCCGAGGCCCCAAGTGTTGAGAAGGCCGCAAGCATCCTATGCAAGCCGCAATTTGTTTCAAGAAGAGGTGCCCCCCAGACCTCAGAGAGGGTGCTTCCTGCACACTCAGAAAATCTCCCCACTCCCCCCTCCTCCGGCACCAGGACCGTTCTCCTCCCTCCCTCTGTGGCACATATCGACCCCCTTCCCCAAGAACCTGGACTCAGACCCTCCGTCCTCGAAAATCCCCCCCTCCCCCCTTTTCCTCTGGAACCTGGGACCCCCCCCCTCCCTCCTCGAAGATCTCCCCCCCCGTCCTTCCCTTCCCTCTACTTCCAGACCCCTAAATCTGGACCCCTACCTCTAGAGCCCAGGACCCGAACCCGAAAGTTGCCGGCTGCAGCAGCCGACAGCGACGACGACGCCGCCGACGACTCGATGGGGATGGCTGCCGTCTCCTTCGGAGAGCTACTCCTGTCCCAGCAGAGGTTAAGATGGTTTCTAACGATGGTGATTATTCGCCGAGTCTCATCTTCATCCTTCTCCTCCTCTTTCTCATCCTAGCTGCAACGCGACCGCCTCGCCGTCGTCGTCGTCGTCGTCGTCCTCCTCCTCCTCCTCCTACTCCTCCTCCTCCTCCTCCTCCTCCTCCTCCTCCTCCTCCTGGGGGCTCCTGCTGTGCATGCAAGGCTCCCTATTCGCGTGGGTCAGGCGTCGAAGCCGCGTCGAAGCGGATCTCATATAGTACTGAAGGCGTATCGATAACAGCGGTGTGTGACAGGAAAACGCCTGCGGACATAACCCCAATGCAGCCAGTGCGTGACAAGTCCTGCGCCGCGCAGAGCAGAGACAGCAAGCTCGGACGCCACGGTCACAGTATGACGAGAGGGCAGCCCAACGGACAGGCTTCTTGCCCACAACGAAGCAACGCCACCATACTGAAACAAAGTACCTCTAGGCCACCGTCCTCAGTTTGAGAACGCTTTGGGCACCTTCTAAACGGATGTAGGCGGACGAAGGGACATGTGCAGAAACCTATAGCAAGCGCCTCCAGCCCCCTTTTCCTGGCTAGCCCCCAATGGTCACCGGTCCAGCTCGGCTAGGGTCGAACTCGGCCAGGTACAACTCGGCCTGGCCGAGATCGACTCGGCCGAATTGAGCCTGACCCGAGTTCGGCTGGGCCGAGTTCGACCCCAGCCGAGTTCGACCGGCCGAGTTCGACCAGTCCGAGTTCGACCAGGCCGAGTTCGACTGACCGGGTTCGACAGGCCGAGTTGGAACTCGGCGCGCGCTGCGGCCGGAGCGCCGGCCGAATTCGGCGGGGCCGAAATCGACCTGGCAAAGTTGCGTCCCGCCCGAAATCGACCCTGTCCGAGATCTAGATCGACTGGTCGAGTTCGACCCCGGCCCAAGTGGACCAGCCGAGTCCCACTGGCCGAGTTCGACCCCGGACAAGTTTGACCGGCCGACATGGGCCCGCCGAGTTGGACCGGCCGATTTCGACCAGCTGAGTTCGACCAATCCGAATTCGCCCAGTCGAGTTTGGCTGGCCGAGTTTGCCCCTGGCACCGGGGGCGCGGGGGGAAGGGGGCTGCGGAGGAGGAGTGGGAGGAAGAGGAGGGTGAGTGAATGAGTGAGTCTGAGGCGCCCCCCACAGCGAATCCTGGAGCACCCCATGAGACTGAGAGGTCATCAGGGGCACGTGATCTCAGCCACGCCGCAGCCGCCGCTGCCGCCGCCGCCGCCGACGACCCCAGAGATATGATGTCGTGATTTTTTCAATACGGGGTCCCCAGAAGTCTCGACCCGTTCCCCAGGAATGGCTTTCATCCTGGGTCGTTTTTTGACGGTCCCGGGGCCCGGCGAGGGCCCCTAGAGGCCGAAATACATCAAAAACCGCCGTCCTGATCTTTTCAGTGCGTTGGATCTCTGGGACGATGACGACGACGACGACGACGACGACGACGACGACGACGACGACTGGCGGACGACGACGACGACGACGACTGGCGGACGACGACGACGACGACCACGACGACGACGACGACGACGACGACGACGACGACGACTGGCGGACGACGACGACGACGACGACGACGACGACGACGACGACGACGACTGGCGGACGACGACGATGACGACGACGACTGGCGGACGACGACGACGACTGGCGGACGACGACGATGACGACGACGACTGGCGGACGACGACGACGACGACGACTGGCGGACGACGACGACGACGACGACGACTGGCGGACGACGATGACGAC